GTGATCAGGTGGCTTCATTGGTGTCCCACCTGTGGGCTTCATTTTGGCAGCAGTATGAAGTTTCCTGGCGGTACTTCCATTTCTTTTTGACTCTTCATTGTTGTACTTTGCTCTCAGTTAGGGTAGTGTTGTCCTTTCTCTCATGGTTGTTCCAAGATCGTCATCTTATGCGGAATACTGTTGCCTAGTATCGTGCGGCGCTGGTGGAGCCGCTTCAGCTTGCTTTCAGTATATATATGTTACTTCTGCGCCGTTTCGCAGGCGGTCTTGTGCATAGTTTCACCTCTGGCCTTATCATATGCTGCCTGAGTCATCTTGGTCTTTGGACAGAGTGCTCTCCTATCTCTCTTCTCCTCAATTTGTTGTGGTCCCTTCGGTTCAGGATTCTTTTTCGAAGGCTCTTTTTCCTGTTGGCATTGGCCTCTGGGGGTCGGATTGGGGAACTTCATGCTCTACTCCGGCGCAGGGGTTTCTGCTCTTTCGGTCGTGGAGATAGGTTTGTTCGTCTGCAGCCGTCTCCTTTTCTGGCGAAGAGTGAGACTGCTGCTTTCCGGAGGGGTCCATGGGTTGTTGATGCTTGGTTGGACAGACTAGGGGTGCGTCATATTTTGTGTCCGGTTGTGACCCTTCCCTGTTCATAGCCTGCGGTCTATTCCCGTGCCCATGACGTTCGTAAGTTTGCTGCTCTTGATGAAGTTTTTGTTTGAACATGTCCTGGGTTCCCAGATGTTTTTGGGAACATGTCCTGGGTTCCCAATTTTTTTGGGAACATGTCCTGGGTTCCCAAATGTTTTTGGGAACATGTCCTGGGTTCCCAAATGTTTTTGGGAACAGGTCCTGGGTTCCCAAATGTTTTTGGGAACATGTCCTGGGTTCCCAAATGTTTTTGGGAACATGTCCGGGGTTCCCAAATGTTTTTGGGAACATGTCCTGGGTTCCCAAATGTTTTTGGGAGCATGTCCTGGGTTCCCAAATGTTTTTGGGAGCATGTCCTGGGTTCCCAAATGTTTTTGGGAACATGTCCTGGGTTCCCAAATGTTTTTGGGAACATGTCCTGGGTTCCCAAATGTTTTTGGGAACATGTCCTGGGTTCCCAAATGTTTTTGGGAACATGTCCTGGGTTCCCAAATGTTTTTGGGAACATGTCCTGGGTTCCCAAATGTTTTTGGGAACATGTCCTGGGTTGACATTCAGGCGTGGGGTTTTTGGCAGTCGAACGGGGTCCTGGCTGCATGCTACCTCGTGAACGTTCCTGGGCCTAGTCGGGCCTGTGTTGCTTTGGGTCGGTGGCTGCAACCTGTCTCGACTTCGAGTTGAGGTGTGGAGCACCGAATGCCTCCCGGGTAAGTCCCCCTTCTTTCCTTAGTCTTTGGTGAAGTAGCTCTGGGGAGCAGTAGGAGCTCCCCTCAGAAAACCAACGTTGAATGTAATGAAACGCCATTTGCTGGGTGAGTCCTTGATGCTCCCCAGCAATCCTCCCTCCCTCCCTCCGGTTGGCGGTTTTCGCGTATTTTGATATTCAGTCTCAAAACTGAAGGTGTGGATCGCCGACGCGGGGGGTCTGGGGCTTCCCCATCCCCTTCCCGCGGAGGGGGGAGCTGCGCAGACATGCGGCGTGGCTCGTGTGACCTCATGCTTGTTTGCTCATTTTCCCTTGAGGGAGTGTCCCCGGTAGGCCTAGAACTCCACCCACATCGACTGATGCATAAGTTAGGGCTATCCCTATTAGCCTGGATAGCTCCGGGGAGCCTCCGGAACTCATCCAGAAAATGGCGTTTCATTACATTCAGTGCTGGTTTTTTGTGTGTTTTGACATCCAGCCTTCGAGCTTCGGGTTCTGGCTCGGCTCAAATCCTATTGAGGAAGGGTGATTTTCCTGGTCTCATTGAGGTTTACCCAGCCTTGGTTTTAGGGGCTGCTTGCTTGTTGTCCGAACCCGGGCATTTTTTCATGATTCTGTCTCTTTCAACAGGTAAGGCCAGTGAGGTACCCTGCTGGTTTGATTTTCTCCTCTGTGATATGTGTCTGGTCTTTCTGATGCATGTGTATTGCCATTGGTATGGTGATCAGGTGGCTTCTTTGATGGCATCCCACCTGCGGTCTTTTTCTCAGTGACGGCACAAAGTTATTTAGCAGGCTTTGTCATTTTTCTCTGTCAGGTTTTGTTAGTGTCAGACAAGGTTGTTTTGTCCCTTCTCTCTTGGCTTTTCCTGGATCTTTGTCTCATTTCAATTACTGTCACTTCTTATTGTTCAATGTTGGTGGAGTCACTGCAGCTTGCGTTCGGGGTGAATGTCGCTTCTGCTCTGTTCTGCAAGCTTTCTCGTCCATTTTTTCATATTAGGCCTGCCCATGCACCGCCTGAGCCGTCTTGGTCTTTGGACCAGGTTCTTTCCTTTCTTTCTTCTCCTCGGTTTGTAGTGGCCCCTACGGTTTGTAATTGCTTTTGGGAAGCTTTGTTTTTGTTTGCTTTGGTCTCTGGGGTCAAGTTGGGAGCTTCAAGCTCTTCTTCAGCCCCAGGAGTTTTGTTCATTTGATCATGGTGGTCGTTTTGTTGGTTTGCAGCCGGCTATGACCAGCTGATTCAGGCAGGTGACTTTACCTGATAACAAAATACAGTACCCAGAAATATACTATGCACATCACTATTATTATCATATTCCTGTCACTAAATCATGAATGTGAATCGTTTCCCACAAAATTTTCTAAAGGAACACGAGATCATATTGCATAATGAATAGATTTGCAACCTTCAGCTGTGTGCTGTGAACATCTTGATCATTGTGTTCATTGATATCCGACTCCTTGATACATTGATTGATATTGATACAGTGAATCCTCGGCTTACAATTGCCCCTACTTACGATATTTTCGAGTTACGATGTAAATTTGGTCGGAAAATGCGCCTCGACTTGCGTTTGTGTCGTCGACTAACGATATTTGTTGATACGTGTTCGGGTCAACCGAGTGCATGGTTCCTGGTGGCACGGGGCGACCTGCCTCAGTTTACCAGAGCCACCCGCGTAGTGACGATCACGCTTGTAGGAAATTCCATTATTTTGGTGATTTTTTGTTTTTTGAACATAGAAGTAATTATTATATCATTCCATGGGTCCCAAGAAAGTCGGTGGTAAGGTTCAACATATGAAAACACATGTGAGGATGACCATAGAGGAAAAACAAGAGATCATTCGTAAACATGAAGATGGTGTGCGGGTTGTTGATGTAGGGTAGAGGATGTCTCTTCCTCATTTATTAAGAAAATGTGTGCAGTATGGGAAGAATTGCAAAGTTTTGCTGAAAAGTGTCACCCAAAACAAGCTGTAGCAGACCATTGTGTTAACCTTTTTAATGACAATGTGATGTCTCACTTCAGACAAATGTTACAACGTAGGGGAAAAACAAGTGTTCCTAGACAGGTTTTTAGTGAGAAAAACAGTGAGCCACAAGCAGGTCCTAGTGGTATGCAGGTAAAATGTAGGAGAGAGAGTACCCTAGAAAAGTCATCACTGCCTGATGTTATAGGGACTCCCCTTCCAAAGACAAACACCTCTCCTCCTCCTCACCGTCTTCCATACGCCAACAAGAGTCCTCATTCAAGATAAGATATACATACTGTACTGTAGTGTTATTCAGTATAAAATGTATTTTTATGTTAATATTTTTGGGGGTGTGGAACGGATTAATTCAATTCCCATTATTTCTTATGGGAAAATTCGTTTCGACTTACGATCCGTTTCTGGGAAAGGATTAAAATCATAAGTCGAGGCCCCACAGTACATAATTATTATTAGTCAGGATCATCATTTGATGCTGTTATTGCAAAATAATTGCAGTTACTTATTTTATTCATGATTATAGTGGTGCTGAGTTCCCAACTTGTAGCGCTGTGCTGTGAGCTCCATCTGCATGTGCCAGCCTTGGTTGATCTGGCAGTACTGAGGCTCTTACAGCCAGGAGGGATGCAGACACATTTTTCTCAGAATGACATCTGTTTACTGGAGTCCTGAGGAACAGGATGCAAACCCTGTGTACTTATATCTTAAGATGTACTAACAAACATCATATGTTGGGCAGTGCAACCCCCCCATTTTTCCTGTGATATCATGGTGGGCAGAGTACAATGGTTAAGCTGCCTATGATGTGACCTTCCTCTGTAAGCTGCGACCCAGTTGACGTGCAGGACCACACACCTGATTGAGCAGAACCTCAAGCATCATATTAAAGCTGCTATCACTCCTATCTACAGGTGCAGCACAGTAACAAAATTCCTAGGCACCACTTAAGATAAGGATAGATTTAAAAATATAGTAGTCGTGCTTAAGCAGGAACTTAAACAGCCTCAGAAGTGATAACTCTGGAAGATGACCTTTGCTAACAGCATACCAGGGTTATGCTGGTATACATATGGTATTCTATCCATATCATAACCCTGAATTCAGATCAAATTATGACATACACTGTACAGTTTTACTGTCAAACATACTAACTTAGTGTGGATAATGTGTGAGGCCCAGCAATGGATTGTAAAATAAACAGGAAAGCCTGTCATTTACCTAGAAGAAGTATTATGATAAGTAGTGGATAGTAGATGTAGCAGGAGAGTGTACAAGTTGACTGGGATGCACTGAGCCCCAGTTACTTGCACTGCTATCTGATGGTGAGACAGGTGTGCTAGTATTTGTTGTTTATCATCATTATTAGTTTTTGTTTGGTATTCACTAGTACCAAACATTTCTCCGAGTTTCATCCCCACCCCCACCCCAACTCCCACCCTATTTTGGTCTTCAGAATGGGTTTTTCTTTAGTATATGGTAGTCTTGTTAAACATGCATCTCCCTGCCACTTGTGAGGATTGGCAGGATTCTACTACTGCTTCAGGTAGGCCACGAGATATCATAGCTGCCTAGTGAGATGGTATTGGCCCTGGTATCAGTTTATATTCAGAGACAGCAGCCCCACAATATTTGTAGATCAATTTCTGAATGTGTTCTTTACAGCTTCTGGATCTCTTCACCTTGGACTATGGTAAAGTTGATGGTAGTCAAGACTCTGTGAACGCCAGTGGTCGAAGCAGCACATCGTCTCAGGCTCTTGGTGTGGGCACGACAGGAGCCAAAGCTGCCCTGGAGAATTTGCCTGAACTCTGGGATCAAGATCAATATGAGAATGAGTACGATCTTGACTCCTTTATTGTGTCTCTTAAAAAATAATTTGGAAATCTCATTTGTAAGTTATACATTATGCATAATAATTAAACCAATGAGTATTTTATTGGCAAGAATAATACAAAGCTCCCAGCCTTATTACACACTAATTTAGTTGTAAATAATGATTTGAAGCACCATATTTGATATGTACAAATTCTCATCATAAAAGGTCTCGTAAAGTGACATCAACTCATCTGGCAAGCTTTTGAATTTTAACAAGCCTATATTTAACTTTTCCAGAAATTTTATACAAGATGAGGAAGTGTTCGTATTAAAAAGTATATTTTCATCGTTTATAATAGTGAATACTGTAATGTTTTTTTTATATAACAAAGGTTAACCATCATTGACGAAATATTGAACATAAATGACAAACTTTATATATATGCCACGTTTAAAGAAGGCAATATTGAACTTTTTGTCCATTTCTGAATATTTCCAAAAACTTCAGGTACATAGTTACATATGCAAGCACTTATTCCTCTGTGATGTGTAAATGTGGGCCGTGTAAGTGTTGCCGCTAGCACACTTCACCGCCGGATGAGTACCGAGGTTTTGTGCGAGTGTGTCACTTTATGTTGCGTTCTGGAAATTTATCCCCAAAGGGCTTATGGCTTATGCATTTACAGTTATTGTATTATATATTGCCAAGATATTACTGTAATTAATGTGGGAGAATAGTTGAACAAATGTAAATGTATTTAACGGTTCATATTTTGGTCTATTGTGAGAAGTTAATGTCTAAGAATTTTTTTCTTGTTTTACATATTTCAAATGAACAAATATTTGCTCATTTCTTATTTGAGTAATTACTAGGGAATAATTTACATGATTATTTATAACCTTAATTATTTTTAGTTTTAAGATTCTGATATTTTCACAAATTAGTTTAAAAGTATTTTAAGAAATTTAATTTCTAACGTGATTATAAATGTAGCCCATTGTTAGAAGGTACAGTACGGTGGACTTTTATATAATGCATCAGTTACATTCCTGAGAAATGGCATATTATAAATTAATGTGGTGTTTGCACTGAATAACTAGCAGCAGCATCATTGACCAGACTGTGAGCTGGGAGGCCTGGTCAAGGGCAGACTGTGGGACCGCTGGGGCTCTGGGAGCAGCGCAAGGTAACCACGTTACTACATGCGACACACTTGTACACTGCATTATAGGCATACTCTGATTTAAAATAGTGTGTATATTGTATGTTTTTTTGAGTGTGTTGGCAAGGGTGAGTGTAGGTGTAATTACCTAAGTGCAGTTACAGGATGAGAGCTGTGCTCATGGTGTCCTGTCTACGACTCTCTGAAACTGCTGATTATTTTAGCATCTACCATCTTCTCACTTAAATGTAAATATGGTTATAATACCGGTACTGTACAGTACATCTATAGGGATGTAATGGCGTCAAACTACACCCCTGACGGAATTCTGCTATTATTTTTGAATTGCTTGGTATGCAATAAGGTTATTGTGTACTAGCTGCCATGTGATTATCATCAAATCACAATTGAATATTTCACAGTGGTGTTTAGCTCTATTTCTGAACAACATTCCCAGGCAGACTAGCAGCAGTGAAGTGGATTGTAAGACAATACCTTTGAGATGTACCAGGAATACATTCACGTGCAGTGTAGGGGGTACAGTACTCAATCCCTATGTTTGTCAATTATGAATAAATAGATAGTTATTCCGTATTTGTGTAAACACGAGTAAGAAAAGAGTGAACATATATACTATCTAACTTGCACATCACAGCTTTCTCCCTTGTATGATGAGTCGGCAAAATTGTATCTCCAAGAGTCCATGGACCCTATAACACCCTCTCGCTCTTCTTCCAATGTTTCCCAAACCAGGAAAGATGTAAATTTGTGGGATTTTTATTTTTTCCTCATTTTGTGTATGCAGATGTAATAATTACAGTATATGCAACTATTTTGTTTAAGATAAGGTGATATTTTTGATGATAGCCACAGTTAGAGGACTAAATGCAATTTTGAAGTTTGTAAGTGTAGCATAAGCTCCTCACAGTGCCTTTGAGTGTTCCTCTGGTGTCAGTTTACTATCCAGAACCATCTCTAGACCTCTTTATCAAAGTTCTTTAATATCTTTTCACATTGCTTGTAGGATATTTGTGGCCTATTTTCCTCTATTTCACATTTCATTGTGGCATTTGTCTACAATAAATTATATCTGCTGTGTGTTGCTCCATTTATTTTGTGTAGGTCATTATGAAGGGCCTGGCAGTCATCCAAGTTTGTGGATGTAACCTCACATCACTATCATTGTTTTAAATATTTTGACTTGCCTACTCCTCAGCTGGTGAGCAGTGACAAGCAGTGGACATGTTTTAAGTTTCTTGTGTTCCACCTCCACTGTCTTTCTTCATAAACTGGTATATGTGGTAGAGTTCTTTTTCTTAAAAAAAAAAAGAGGAGGGGAACTAACGATAAGTGACATACAAAACATATACCACAGATAAACATTGTCTGCCTGTCTCATGTCATTTGTATGGGACTGCATTCTGCCACAGTTAAGGAGATTAATGTGCCATGCCATTCTAAATTTTCTAAGCATTGCTCTACACTTTAGGGCACCAGCTCAGTTTGCTTTCTCTTCCTATGAATAACAGTTGGGAGGTGGAGAGTGTGAGTGTGTGTGTGCGCTTGTGGGTTGGAGAGATTTTGTTTATAAAAGAAAATGAGAAGAGAGACACAGTTAGACAATTTCTGACACACTTGAGTCACTGAACCAAAGGACTAAGGAGGGAACCTAGCTCCTAGTGGCTGGGCTTGAGTGAACACATGAGCATGCTGTGAGTCAGTGTGCTAAATTATATGCCATGTTAAAAATTTGCTGCATAAATATGCATTATATAAGGGTCCACTGTAAGAGAACTTGGGTTCTCACCCAGATATTAGGGTTGTAACCAGTAATTTAGAAGAAAAAAGAAACTGGGAAAGTGGGTTGTGAGGTTGGTTTGAGGTCACTCCCCATTCCTCCCATACATTGAAAGATGTAAGTGTTGTTCCTAATACCGCTACAGTACCAAGAAGAGTCATTTCCTGCACTTGACCTTGTCCAGGTATATATGATGAGCCGCCTAAAATAACATTCTTGTTATTAGATCTTACAAAATGTAATGTCCAAGCTTTGATGAACGAATTGTTGATGCAAGAAGCTTGGTGTTAGTGATGGTGTGGTTGTGTGCGGGAGGACTGTAATATGGACCACATTATTTATGTCACTTTTTCCCACTTGCTTAACAGTGTAAAGCTAGTCGTCCCCATTTAGTACTTAAACTGTTGCTCATATTCAAGCAAGTAACTCACAAAGTTTGATTTAAATTTCATGGTACAGGTAATATTTTTTCTGTTATTCCTAGCTTTGGTATACTTTTGTTTTTCTCATTTTCCAATGAATGTAATTTTAATATTTATCTGCTGTAATTATCAAATGTTAACTTGTAAGCCATTTATGAAAAGAGAATAATATATATGATACCAAGAATGTATCATGATGACTCTTAAATTCTGTAACATTATGATGTCAGTCTTTCTTATTCTAAGTATTATATATACAGTATATGGCTATATGTGTATATTGGTATTTGCACATATATTGCAGGCATAAAGAAGCATGGTACAGGTATTGTTTATGCAGTTAATGTAAACATCATTGTTTGCTCTCCAGGTTTGTTAGCTAGCTTTCTCGAGTGATTGCGTTCAAAATGGACGTAAACTTATGACTGTTTTAACTAGTGGTTTTTTCCATTTCAGTGACATTTATTACTTATAAGTATTAAAGATTTTGTTAAATTCCTGATTAGTTTTTCATTGTATTATGCATTGGCTTTTTGTAGCCAGTTACTATACAAACTATCATATTGCAGTTTACATCCACTTCAGCATTGATGAACGTAGCATCAATACTTTAGTACAGTAAACTTTCAGATGGAAAAACCTCTGCACGATCTTATTGTGAATCTTAATATGGACCAGAATTGTGTAAAGTATACTTTTACCCATTGTGGACAGTTTACCTCTTTGCATTCTACATTTGCATTGTAGACCTTCAGAATCTAGTCCTCTAGTTTCTGACACAATAAAAGATAAAGAAAACAATTTTGATGGCAAAGATTGAAAGAAAAGACTAAGGGGGCTCAAAATTGAAGGAGTTAAATATAAGTTTCTAAGTGGCCTCCATTGTAGTACCAATGGCCTGAATATAGACCATCTTCAGCAAGTTTATTAAACATGTTAATGTTTGTATTATTATACAATATTTGTTTAAAAATGCACAAAAAGCTCTCCTACAAATATGGTGATATACATATATCACAGAAATTACTAATTATAGCAAGATTTTCTATGAATCAATTATTCTATGATTATCTGGACTTTGAACAAATTATTCCAGAGTTTAAAGGTTTCATTGTTTGTTTTACAGTCAAATTTTGACCTTCCGTCAGCATTGACCTGGATCTATACACGACAGTCATTACATGCTGTGTGTGTGATGTATTTAAAAGTTCAAAGTTCAAAGGTTTATTGTCTCTGATTCTACCTTGATGAGTTTTATATTTTGTATGCTATGTGATACATTGTTTATAATATTTGTCATTATTATTATTTTTGTTTTCCTTTTTTTTCTTTACATCCCCCACCCATGGAAGACGGAAACTGGGGTATGATGACGGTATTGTTAACAGTAATTATGTGCAATTCGAACCTGGCACTTAACTTCACTCTTCCCTTTCATTTCCTCATCAATGTCATTTTCCTTTCATTTCCTCAAAGATAGTCTTCAAAACATTGGCTGAATCATTTTAACCCTTAGACAGCGGTTATTGTCAGTTGAGTCACAGGGTAATGCAATTATCATCATATGAATATTTCAAAAATTATTGTCTGGGGTTTTTACATGTATGATGCAATTATGGATATAATTGGTCTATGTGGATAAAATGGAGTTTACCTTGACCATCTTGAGGTTATCTTGAGATGATTTCGGGGCTTTAGTGTCCTCACGGTCCGGTCCTCGACCAGGCCTCCACCCCCAGGAAGCAGCCCGTGACAGCTGACTAACACCCAGGTACCTATTTTACTGCTAGGTAACAGGGGCATAGGGTGAAAGAAACTCTGCCCGTTGTTTCTCGCCGGTGCCTGGGATCGAACCCAGGACCACAGGATCACAAGTCCCGCGTGCTGTCCGCTCGGCCGACCGGCTCCCATGACAAAAACCCTGCTATCATTTCATGGTACAAATGCTGTTATCATCATGAATGTTACTTGGGGGAATGCGGTCATCATAGGATGATTTAAATAGTTATTGTCTAGGATTTACATGTATTTATCTGAATTTACCCGAGGGTCACTAATACTAGTGTCCTCAATGAGGATAGGAAGCTGGCGGCTTGTCGAAAGTCCCCCCATTTGCCCTGATGAGCTTTTCCAGCTGTATTTTAAAACCCAGCAAAGTTTTGCCATTTATGGCTTCAACGGGTCGGCAGTTCCACGGGTTTACAAGCCTATGGGGTGAAAAAGCATCTCCTGTTTCTGTCCTACATTGTGGCTTGTTGAGCTTGAACCCATTGCTCCTCATTTGTTACATCTGACCTTTTGAAGAAATGTGATGCACATATGGATATAAAAGCTCTCTCTGGATGTAAATAACGAAAAACAAGTGATAAAACCATCAGTGAAATGCCGGAGGACAAAACATGAAGCGTCAGCATAGTCAAACACCGGGTGTTGACAAGTGCCAGACACAGCCTTACAGGGTGCCTCCACCCAGTGTAATAACAAATATTCACTTATTTTTGTGCTTTTCTTACATTCTGCATACAAATTAATGATTCTATAATGAAAAATTATTTGTTGGATTTTTTTTTTTTTTTTTTTTTTTAATTTTTTTGTTGTATGACCACAACCGCTTTCTAAGGGTTAATATAATTTGGTGTGTTTGCTTTATAAGTGAGTAGCATCTTGCACCACAAGAAGCAAATAACAAGAATACTTTAAAATATAGTAAATGAATATTCTGAACCACATTCATGCATACACCACATTTGTGTAAGTAGTAATCTACTGTACATTAACTTTTCTAATCTACAGTACTTTTGAGATACTGAATCAAAATCTGTACATCAAGATACACATGCAAGAGAAAATTTCTTATTTTGCCCTTGGATACAATTCTGAAACTCGACAAATTGTGATGTATCTCAAAAGGAAACAGATGGAGAATTATCTTGGTTAGCCTGGCACTAGATCACACAGCACTTGGTAGAATACAACGAAACATATACCGTGGATGCAGTGAAGAACTTGCCATATAGTGTAATAAAATGGAAAAAATGTGGGTATGTCCATAAGGAGACTAAATTATCTAACTAAATATACTACAGGAATTGCGTAAATTAAACAAAAGAACTGTTGAGGGCCTTATAATTATGGAAATCTTAAAATAAAATGGGTGATGTTTCTGAATAGGTACTTTTGCTTTTAAACTATTTTATCTCCTGACCGACTTGCATAGCCAGTTATATGAAATTAAATTTAAAAAATTAAAGATAAAAGTTCAGTATTTTGATGTTCTTAAATTACAAAATTGAATGTAGTGGTTGTTGGCAATATTTGTGGGGCAATGAGATAAACAGTGCCCAAGTTACTACATTCATTACACTTTGCTATATAAAGGATAGGATAAAAATGTTAGTAATAATAGCTAATAGTCTGGTGGCATAACAAAAACTTGGGCAAGTCATAAGAAAAGAATTCTCTGCTTACCAAGGATGAGATTTTCCTTTTGATGTTCTTCTTAAGTAATCTAAATTTATACATGCCTATGAATGTGATATTTCTAGGAAGTTGTGGTGGTGGTTGATGTGAAGATATACACTTATGTGTTAACTCTTAACATTATAGGTCTGGCACTGTACAGTTAGAGTTGGCTCAAATGAACTACAGTGTGCCTCGATTAAGGAATTTAATCCGTTCCGGCACCGAGCTCGTCATGTGGAAAACTATTCTTGCGAAACGACAACAAAAATGAATTCATTTTATTAAATGGTTCTATTAAATTTTATTTTTTGTCTATTTTATTAAATGGTAAAGTAGGGCCTCTTGGATAAATTTGTTAAAAGATATCCTGCAGTCCTGCAAACACACAAAATAACTGTCCCTATTTTATGCACGTTACAACTTGTAATAAAGTTGTTACATTTTGTTATAGCATTTTTATAACATACAGTGGCGCCTCGATTAATGAGTTTAATCCGTTCCGGCACCGAGCTCGTCATGTGGAAAACTCGTCTTGTGAAACGACAAAACTGTCGTCGGAGGTGTCCGAGAACCAACGGGAACGCTCTTTAATCGAGGGAAAGCTCGTCATTCGAGACATATTTTCTGTGAGTGACTTGCTCGTTACTTGAAATGCTCGTAACTGGAGCCGCTCGTCACTTGAGGTTCCACTGTACACTATTAGAACGTTGTTACAATTTGCTATATTGGTTTTTATGACTTGTTAGGTGTTAAAACTTGCTCGAACATTGTACAGTGGAACCTTGAGTGACAAGCGCCTCAATCTACGAGCATTTTGAATGACGAGCACTCCACTCGGGGAAAATTGGTCTCGATTGACGAGCTTTCGCTTGATTAACGAGAAAAGCACATGGTGCTTCCTAGAGTTCCCGCTGGTTCTCGCAAATTCTTGGACACCACCTACAATGCAAATAACTTTTTATTTTTTTTTTTTAAGATGCTAATGATGATAATTAAAGGGGGGGGGGGACTGCAGTAATGTTGCAAAGCATTGATTTTTGTCTTTTAGACAAAATTAGAAAAAATGAAAGAAGAACAAATATCAAAAAGGTTCATTCAGTAAATGTCAGGTAGGTATCTCCATTTTGTATAAAAAGAAAAGAAAAAAACGAAAATAAAGTCATAAAGGTTCGTTCGGTGTGTGCCAGGTTGGTTGTGCCATTATTAATAAAAAAATAAAAATAAAAACCAAATTAAATGAATATGAAAAATAGAAAAAAATGTCATAATGGAGCATCCTACCTGACATTCACTGAACGAACCTTTGACATTTTTTTTTCACAAATTCTTTCAATTTTTTTTTTTTATACAAAATGGAGCAGCCTACCTGACATACACTGAACGAACCTTTTTCCATAAAAAAATGAAAAACTAAAAAAAATTGAACAAATTTGAAAAAAGAAAAAAGTCATAAAGGTTTGTTCAGTGTATGTCAGGTAGGCTGCTTCATTATTTAAAAAATCGAATATCATATTGATGTTTTTCAGTGGTAGAACGGATTAATTTTATTTCCATTATTTTAAATAGGGAAATTTGTTTCACAAGACGAGCGTTTCACATGACGAGCTTGGTGCCAGTACAGATTAAATTCGTTAATCGAAGTTCCACTGTAGTAACATCGTAGTTTTTTTGTGTGTTTGGCAGGTTGATATTCATATTGAATTTTAAGATTTATTTAAAAAAATGCGGCTTTCCAAACTGTTAACACTTTTGCGCGCTTGGCATGCATGACGTAAATTTAGAGGTCATGCCTCCCGGCGTGCGGGCGAGCATGCGACGACACCAAAATGTGTATACAGAGCACCACTTGGTTCCCGAACTTTAGTTATCTGAAACTTCCAGTTTCTCGATTGGGGTTGGGGAGTCACGCTACACGAACTAAGTTCGGGTAGGAAGTAGTCCGCCAAGCTTCACGCCAGCCGGTGTTGGGGTTATCCTACACGAACCAAGTTCGGGTGAGGAAGCGGTCTGTCAAGCGTCGCGCCGGCCTGTGGGGGTG